CTCGGCCGCCACCGCCGCCGCCACAGCCGCATCCCCTGCACCGCTCCTCCTCCGGCGGCTCCCGGGCAACGCCGGAAGTCACGGCGCGCACCTGCCAAATCGCCCCGGCGGGAAACCTCTCCCCGCGCGGACGGGGCCGCCCGGGCCCCTCCCGAGAAGAGGCAGGGAAGGGCGGCTCCGCTTCGGGTCCGGCCGCGGTGCAACCGCCGATGAAAGAGGGCCGGCTGGGACCACGGCGGGCGAGCGGGTCCTCGAGTTGCAGCCCAGGCCGGCGTTGGCAGACAGGGTCGAGGTGGAATGCAAGGCCTCTCTCCAGCTCTACCTCGCGGGTTCCGAATCCGACTAATTAACTAGCATCTGTCATTCATCGACACACGTTTTTTGGGCATCTCGTGAGCGCCAGGCCACGTGCTGGCGCCAGAGTGCAGCCACCCGAGGGTGACCGAGGTTCTGGGCTTGAAGGAATGCAGGCAGATGAGCCAGCCTCGGGGAGAGTCGTGGGGGAGGCCGAAGTGGACGCGTTTATTGGAAGATCGGGGCCGTTTTCAGACTTGAACACTTAGACCAGGAGGACTATAGGGACGCCCCCTCGGCCACTCTGGCTGCACTGCGGGGTCCTTGGCCCTTGCAGAAGCACAAAGCCCACAAGCTAGGGGAGCGACTGGCGGGAATATGCGGGCTGCATGGAAGAGCTTTCGAAGGCCCGCGGAGACGGAAAGGAGATCTCCAACTGCGCTCCGGGGGTGCCCGCGCGCTGTCGGGATGTGTGGGGCGGGACTACGTCAGGGCGGGGCCACACGTGCGCCTGCCCCTCCGTGGCCGGAACGCGAGCGTGCGGAGTGACAGGACTGCCGGACCGTGGCGCGAGGCACCGCGGGCCGAGCTGTAGAGCTGTAGAGCTGCGTTCGCGGAAGCAGCGGTCGAGAGCCTTACAGCCCATGGCCGCCGCGGTGCTGGGAGCTACCGCGCGCGCTGTGCGCTCGCAGCGCTGGTGAGTGCGGACTTCGGACGGGTCTCGCTGCCGGGGGC